TGATTTGGGTTTGATCAGTAAATTTGATCTCCTGGAAGATACGCAATGCAGCAATTATTAGATGTTAATAATGTTATTATTAATAATGAACTCAAACTAGCATCTTCCAACACTCACGTAAGTCACCAAATACATACATACATACAAATATACACCCTACTAATTCTAGGCTTGACAGCCCTCTCTAGAAGAAGTCCACCCAACCTCTCCTGAGAGCAGGTCCATCCAACTGATGAGTCGTGATGATGGTGGGAACATAGAAGTAGCGGTCCTTTGATTTACATGCACATCAGCAATGGACTTTCACTAACAACAGTGATGGCCAACCTCGCTCTGACCACAGTTTCYGTGACCATTCTGTGATTCCCATAGTAAAACTGTTTTTACCAGACTCTCACATATTCAAGGATGCCCTCAGACAAACGCAGCAAAGCTGAATGCTGCCAGCCTGATTAGGTAGGATCAGAACTCTTCTTTGAACATGCAGAGGAGACAGACTTGTTGTCTTCTGTTCAGCGTTGACTCTGGTCCCTTGTTAACATCTATCTCTGACATCTGAAGCCAGGCAGCGAATGCAGCTAAAAACTAGAAGACTCCCTGTTCAGGCAGGTTCCAGCAGCTTGCCAAGTACCATGAATCAGCCAGCCAGAGGGAAGTGCCAAGCTGTTGGCAGGGGAACTTCCAGTAATGCTCTTAGCCTGTCGCAAGTACAAAATAACACAGCCCACACTGGAGGGTGCTTGAATCAGGTCACACTTTCCTAGTGTTTGTTCAGAGGGGAGAGCCCAGAAAGACAGACACCCAGCAGCTTGCGAGGATGGGGTGAACTGTAATTCGTTTATGYCCTTAGTCATTGGCATTTCAACATGACAACGCAATACTCTGTTTCAGGAGCTCATGACCTTCAACCAGTCATTTTGTCTGACATGGCCACTGTTTTTCCTGCACATTGTTCTGAGATGCTGGTTAATAAACACAGCTGAAGTGGCAAAAGTGTGACCATTTACATCTCTCTGCAACCTGAACTGCTCTTAGGCCTAAACGACAGGCCCAAGTCAGGAYTGACTTACAGCTGAATACAGCTCTGCTTTTGCAGAAGTGCACAGGACTCACCTCTAGATTGCTTCTGCTGACTGCACGTAGGCTCAAAAACCTGTAACTTTTGTAGGCTCTCCTTGAAGGCCTTCTCTCTTGAAGGGAACTTTCCCATCTGAAGCCAGGGCTCTGTCCAGGTCCCAGTGCTGTATGATACGGGAAGTAGGACATACCAGATATTACTGCTAACAAATAAAATGCAACTTTTACTGATTTGGCTTTATAAAAGCTGGACCCTCTTACAACGACTTTGGAGACCTCACTTACAGGTGGATGCACCACATAGGACCTCCCAATTGCTGGCAAGGCTCCCCAAAACCTCACCGCAACAGGGGCTCCCCAGCGACTGCGGAGCTGGATGATGGTAACATGTTCAGGCAATTGGTGATGTATCTTTCTTAATCACTATTCTCTATCTCATATAGTAATGGTTAAGTGCATTACCTTGCTTATTTTGTCCATAGTTACAACTCGGTGCATAGAAAGCTTATTGTTTCATTAAATGTATCATTTCATTTCTTTATTGTTTGATATTAATAGTAAACACAGCCCTTGGTGTCTGGTTATTTCTGCCACACCCCCCGACAACTGGTAAAACACAACCTGACTTTTTTCCTAGTCTCCCTAGGAACAAGAACTTCACACCTATCCATCTGGGCCTCAAGTCAGGAGGATAACCGTCACAAGCAGTGTTCCCCAGGTGTGAGTGTTGAGAATGGTCCTCTTTAATATCTTTATCACAGAATGGTTAATGTTGGAAGGAACCTCTAGAGATCATCTYGTTCATTCCCCTGCTCCAGCTGGGGCACCTAGAGCATGTGGTGTAGGGTGGCATCCAGGCGGGTTTTGAAGACCTCCAGAGAAGGAGACTCCACAGCCTCCCTGGGCAGCCTGTTCCAGGGCTCTGTCACCCTCACATTGAAGAAGTTCTTCCTCACATGGAGATGGAACTGCCTGTGTTTCAACTTATACCCATTGCCCCCTTGTCCTATCACCGACGTCCACAGARAACATCTTGTCCCCTTCCTCCCTACATTCCCCCTTCATGTACTTATACATATTAATCAAATCCCCTCTCAGACTTSTCCAGAGAAAACAGGCCCAACTCAGTCTCTGCTCATACAATACATGTTCCACTCCCTTAATCATCTTTGTTGCCCTCCAATGGACCCTCTCTAGAAGTTCCATATCCCAGTTATACTGGGGAGCCAAGAACTGCACACAATACTTCATATGTACTCCATTTACCATTACCAATACTCCATTTATCAATGATCTGGATGAGGGAATGGAGTGAACCCTCAGTAAGTTTGTAKATGACACCAAGCTGGGAGGAAGAGTTAATCTGCGTGAGGGTAGGAAGGCTCTGCAGAGAGATCTGGACAGGCTGGGTCAATGGGTAGAGACCAACGGAATGAGGTTCAACAAGATCAAGTGCCAGGTCCTGCCCTTGGGTCACAACAACCCCATGCAGCCCTGCAGGCTTGGGGCAGAGCRGCTGGAGGGCTGTGCAGCAGAAAAGGACCCGGGGGTSTCAGTGAACACGAGCCAGCAGTGTGYGCAGGGGGCCGAGAAGGCCCGCGGCCTCCTGGCTGCTATCAGGAACAGTGAGGCCAGCAGGAGCAGGGAAGTGACCATTCCCCTGTACTCAGTGCTGCTGAGACCGCACCTCGAATCCTGGGTTCAGTTTTRGGCCCCTCAYTACAAGAAAGACATTGAGGTGCCGGAGTGTGTCCAGGGAAGGGCAACTGTGAAGGGGCTGGAGCACAGACCTTATGAGGAGCACCTGAGGGAGCTGGGGTTATCTAGTGTGGAGAAGAGGAGGCTCTACAGATAAGACAAGAGGAAATGGTCTCAAGTTGCACCAGGGGAGTTTCAGGTTAGACATTAGGAAGAATTTCTACACGGAAAAAGTAGTCAAACATTGGAACAGGCTGCCCAGGCAACTGGTGGTCACTGTCTCTGTCAGTGTTGAAGAAACGTGTAGATGAGGCACTTAGGGACATGGTTTAGTAGGCATGGTGTCGAAGGGTTTAGGGTTGGACTTGATGATCTTGAAGGTGTTTTCCAACAACAATGCTTTTCCAGCCATATGACTCTATAAAATGGAGAAGCAAAGAGCCCAGGCAAACCTACCAAAAGCACCATTATGGAGCCCCTTCACCACTGCCCAGTCCTTGCACAGATAAGCCACAAAAAGGAAATAAGCACACATGAGCGAAGGGAGAATTAGAAAAACAAGAAAGGGCATCTGAGAGGTTTGGCATGATGATTCACTCTGTGAGCTGGGTTACTGAGACAGTAGCTTAGCAGAGCAACATCTGCATAATCATTCATCTCATGAGTAACAGGAAGGTGTTGTCTCAACACGTTCCCCTTAGTAGTTATGGGGAGTATAATTTCTGGAGGAACATCCAACCATCAAACACCCAACTCATTAAACTGGAGCAATGGTAGGAGGTCGCCTTCCCCCTGGAAGGGAGGGCAGAGCACAGAAGACATGCTCCCAGGGAGGACATTTAGGGCCACTAAACCACTTAAGAAGGATTTCCTAGTTACCATAAGTTCTTTTTTTCATGCAGTACTGCTTGGCTGTGAGTCCTATCACTCGTGCTGGACTAAAGTCAGCTTTCTGCAAGTTGTCTCATCTCTTCAGAACGTACGAGAGCCCTGAAAAAATTCACCCCTTCACTAGGCAGCTGTGTCTCCCTTTGGAAGTTTTTGTCCTATTTTCCCTTAAGTGGCTCTTACCAAGAYAGAGACTTGGAACTATCAGGCCTATACAAAACACAGAGTTTCTTCACCATTCACCTCACCACCTTCATCYACTCTCATGGCTCCTTCTCTCAATCTGGCAACTTTCCCTGATAGCTGAAGATTTCATTTTTTTTAAAGAGATTCTGCCCTTTCCCACAGGACTGCCACAATTTAAAAAATAAAATAAAATAAAAATAACAACAACAAAAAAAAAGCAGACCTCTCTCAAGTCTCAATTCCTACTTGGTGAAGCTTCCTTATCTCTTACACCACGGTTTTAAGCTTTGGCTTAAAAAATACATTTTTTTTTTTCTCTAGATCCATAGCTATGTTCCCTGTGAAACTCACATCAATCCCAAATGTGGTGGCATGCAAGGATATGCCTGACTGAGTGGAAGATCCCAGCAGTCTTATGCAAACTCTTGAATTTACAGGTTTGCTTCTGGGACAGCTTCCACACTCAAGGAATAACAGTGGGTTCTGTGAACGCAGCCCATGTACCATAAACTGCACAAGCGCTACAGCGTTGGGTCCTCTTCCCAACATTATCAGTTATCCACTTCACACCACTTRTTATTTTTCCATTTATGTATCACTAGACTACTCCGCTAAGTAGGTCACTGGTATCTCCTTTACCCCCACTTTTGTGCCAGAAAAACAARCAAACAACTTGTCCCTACAGTCCAAACTGATCTTAGTTCAATAAGCAAGTTCCCCTGCAAGTTCTCTTCCCCTGCAAGTGTTCTTGGGTGCTGATCTCTCTGCCTGCCAATTTAAAGATGTTTGCCCTGATTAGACATTCAAATTGAGGGTTGCCCTTTACAAAAGCAATTGTTGCAAAGCATATTGTTTCCACTGCTTTCAAAAGCAACACCGGGACATACAAGAAGCATTGCCAAGATGCTGGGGACAGGTAAGTCACTGGGTAGGACAGAGGAGACACTGCTTTCCTGCAAACAGGACTTCACATTCTTCTCTCTACCTTCTATGCATGATAGACTATTTCACTAAAAGAAAACCCTCCACATTCAGCACAACAAAGCAGCTCATCACAAAGAAGACTACACATTAATGATTAATTAAACTTTAATGCTTACAGTAGTCACTTAAGAGAAATGCCAACTTTTTTTATTTATTATTTTTTAGGAATTCAGATGTGGGAGTTGTTTTATTGGGAAAGTTTGGAGAATACAAGCCTGGAAACAACTGCTCCAAAACATTATTATAAAGGAAAACAAGGAAAACAAAGTAGAAATCATACTGTGCTTTAAAGGAAGGTTACATAGTTTAACTTGCATAGCACAAGCATACGTAAGTGTTTGAGTTAACAGGGACAGACACAGCCCATCTCARTTCAGGTTATTGCTTTCTTTTTTAAAATCTGAGTAATAAGTTGCTGGTCTCTGCTGGAACCAATGAGACTTACTGGCAGGTGCTTTTCAGCAGTTTAGTTTGGTTTAGCCAAGGAACAGCGTACACTACAAAGTTGCAAGTGGAACGCTAAGGAGAAAAGAAAGAGATAGTTACAGATTGCATAAAATAGATCACCGACCATTTTTTCTACACAGAGAAATTTTCTGTGTAGAATTTTTCAATTTCATTTTCTGTGAACAAGACTATGCATCACTCTTGCTGCTCTCCAGATTCATATTCCTCATATTCTGCAATACTACTCTTGTGCTCCATACTAACCACTTCTCTCAACCTTCCCCTGCTCACTTTCACGTTCCCACCACTGGAAAGTTTTCAGCCAGGGCAATACTGACGTAACTCCTCGAGCACGGGTAAGGACATTTGTGCCACTAACTCATTTGTGTGCCTCTACCCCATCATTCCAGGACTCTAGCTGCAGCAGTCATACACAACAAGTTTCTAGGGAGGTGCTTAACAGAGCACTTGCATGCAGTTACRGTTCTCATCTGTGCAGGGACATTCAGCACAGAAACCACACAGTGATTAACACCAGTAATGAAATTCTATGGGACAAGGCTCTGATCCGATCAAGGCAGAAACACATTCAGTGCTCTCTCGTCTGAGAGGCTGAAGTGGTCCCTAAAGAGTTTCTGTAATTAGACAGAATTTGGGCCCAACTTGGCTGGGTGGGTACAGAGAATTGGGGTATCCCCATCCCACCATTCACTATCACCCCTTGGCCAGAGTGCTATTAGCAATAACGAGTATCGATAGGAGAATAATAAAAAAAAAGTCAAGCTCGTTTGTATCACCATGAGACAACAGGAGCAGGGAGGATTTAGGGACACTGCACTGGGCACCAGGCCAGGAGACCTGAAATCAATCCTGATTAGCAATCCTTTTCTCCTGCATATTCCTGGGATCAAAGCCACAGGCAATTTCAGGAGACCGAGGCACACACTCCATGTGCTACAGCCTCAGGACCACGCTTAGGGAAGAGGCTAAAAGACCACATTTACTTTGCTAGCCAGGCAAGTTCCACAGCAGCTCCACCTCAGTAAGCACAAAGCAGATGAGTGACGCCACGCATAACTCCGCTCTAGATCAGATGGAGGGAAGTGGTTGAAAGCTCACGGAGCTGGACACGCTGTTTCAGAGCCTACCTTGGCCATTCCTGGTGCCTCATGGAAAGCACAATCCTGGAGGTGAGGTACTGACTTTGGGCAGTTTGTCCGGCCAATCTCAACTTCGATGATATACCTGATTCCAGCCACGATCTGCAAGGAGACAACCGGCAGAAGGGGATTTATTTACAGCACATACAGGAGGCCTCTCTGCAGGGAGGAGCCTAACAGAAAGCAAGGCAGTTTTCTGATTACACTATTTAAACTGAGGGGAAAAAAAAATGAGAGAGAGAGAGAGAGAGAGACACAAGATGGTGTGGAGCAACTTTCCCAAAAAAAGACATTTTACACCTTTTACACCTGTTAAAGACCAGAAGACAGGGCAAGTGGGTAAATTCAGCACAGCGCAGCTTCCTTAAACAGTAAACAAAGTCACGTGTCAGTCATAAGCAGCACAGGCAAATTACTGTCATCTTCAGTAACTCRAACTCCAGGCACGCACAAGCTATGCCTGAGGTTTTTATTTGCCTTCTGTGGAAAGGAAGAGGGGAGAGAAAAATAAAACGAACAGTTTGAARCCCAGCCCTTCATGCTCTGTTTCAAAGCCTTGCATGGGAGGCTTCCACAGCATCGTGCCAATCCATGAACTGAAGCCTTAAGGCTAAAAAAAGGAATCCCAGCTGCTAACAAAATTCTGCAAGTCCCTCCCCCAAGTCAGTCACATGGCAGGCGACCTAAATACATAAGAATGTGTTAACTGCAGGTGCCCCAAGTCACTGGCTGGCACCCAAGCGGCCGCCAAGTGCCCCAGGCCAGCCGTGCCCCGCCAGCCCGTCCCGCACGCCAGGGACCCTCTCGCCGCCCCGGAGGCCGCGTTCAGACGCGTCKCTGCCCGCGGGATGGCGGCGGCGGCGGCACCGACCTGCCTCTTGGCGCTGATGATCCGCGCCACGCGGCTCGAGTACTTGTCGTTGCTCTCCCGGTTGTACTGCGCCATGGCGAAGCGCAGCGCGCGCTGCAGCCCCTCGTCGTTGTGCGCCACGGGGGCGGGCGCGCCCACGAGCATGGGCGGGCGCTGCTCGGCGCCCAGCGCCGCGCCGGCCAGCAGCAGCAGCACGGCGGCCGCCGCCAGGAGCCCTGCCCGCGTCGTGGCGCGCGCCCTGCGGACACAGCGACAGTGAGGGCGGCTCCGGGCCGCGGGACGCCCGCGGCCGGCCCCTCGCCCGCCTCCGCGCGGGGCCCTGTCCGCCTCCTGCGCGTGCCGGCGAAGCAGAACGCTGCACCAGCGCCAGGAACGTTTCCCCACAGATGAGGCGGCCCGCGCCCCTGTTTGCTTCCCCAAACAGCTCCGCGCTCCCGCAGCGCCTGGGGACGAGAGTGGGGAGCACGGGAGTGAGGCAGGAGATGCCATAGTACAATCGCAGATTCCTTGGGAATTGGGGTTGGAAGGGATCTCCAGAGATCATCTAGTCCAGCCCCTGCACGTGCAGGGTCACGCAGAGCACGGGGCACAGGGCTGCATCCAAGCGGGTATGAAGATCTCCAAAGGAGACTCCACAACCTCTCTGGGCAGCCTGTTCCAGGCTCTGTCACCCTCACTGTCAAAAAGTGTTTCCTTAAATTCCTGTGGAAMTTTTGGTGCCTCAGCTTGTGGCCGTTTCCTCTAGTTCTGTCGCTGGCCACCACTGAAAAGAGGCCRCCCCCTCCTCCTCACTGCCTCCCTTGAGGTGTTTATAGACACTGATCAGGTTCCCCCTCGGCCTTCTCTTCTCGAGGCTGAACAGGCCCAGCTCCCTCAGCCTTTGCTCACAGGACAGATGTTCCAGGCCTCATAGCCCCACGCTGGGCTCTCTCCAGCAGCTCCACATCCCTCCCGTCCTGGGGAGCCCAGAACTGGACAGAGTCTCCAGATGTGGCCTCACCAGGGCTGCGTAGAGGGGTGATGAGGCCTCAGGGCCACAGACAGGCAACAGGCTGAAAGATTTGAGTCCCCTAAAGAGAAACCAAACTATTGTCATTAATCATCACCCACCTCCCTGCTTGGAACAGCAAAAATCTCTAAATCCACCTCACGGACAGTAGCTATTTGTGAGCCTCCCAGGATCACTGCTCCTCCTCACAACTCTGCTGCTTCCCACCCTCACCTCCGAGGGGCCTGTTTGCTGATGGACTGTCAGGACCAAGGCAGGACCATCATCTCACACCCCTGCACCTGTTTCTTATCCGCTTCCCATGGGCCACAGAGGCCTCAAGGCATCCCTGAGCTGTGCTGTGGATAGCAAAGCTCCCTGGAGGAATTGGTGCTTCCTAGGTGTGAGCCAACTTCCTGAGGCCCAGCCTATAGATTGGGCACAGGGCTGTGATTCTTTGCCTGGTATATTTCAGTTTAAGTAAATAATGCTTTATTTGATTTTTTTCTCAGTCAAGTCATTTATTAAACCCCTGAAAGGCATGTTCAGATAGTGTAAATGAACACTTAACACTCTCAGCAGGAACCGGCACCCTAAGAAAATATTCCTATGAATATGAAGTCCCTAAAGCAGAGACGGGCAGCCTGTTTTTACGCAACAGAACATCCCTGCTTTTGCTCGTGTATTCCCACAGCATATGAGCAGAACCAGTCCAAACCCGGGCAGATGAACTCATGTTTTCTGAACATGTCTTGTGGTAATGGTGCCACAAGATGGTGGGGCCACTTGGGAAGCTGAGGTGAGGACTTCCAGGTTTCAGAATATGTAGGGATGGGGGCTGCCTTCTTTTGTGGCTATGGTGGCCCTCCACAGTTATATCCACAGCAGGCAACAGCCTAAAGTCAGCCACATGCCTCCCACAAAGGCAACCGTTATGCCAGGCAATGGAAAGAGTTCCTTGGATGCTCAGAATGACCTTGGGGGTGGTTGAGTTCATTTAATTTCCGAGAAGGGTGGCTTTTTATATCTTGCAGGCCAGTCTAGGGCCTCTTTTTTGGTAACTACTGCCTCATCTTGTCTCTGATCCCACTACCATCAGTAATACTACTCAAAAGAAGAAATGAAAATGCRGTAGGGCAGAGCCCAGCTGGACCCAGACCACAGATAAGGTTTTGCTTCAATATTTATTGTTTAACACCGCTTTTCCAGATCAGATATCAGTAAAGGTATTAACCGAAGACAAAGATTGGCCGCTGCCAGCAAGGTGAAGGTTGTTCATGAAACTGTTAGCTGACAGCTAACCCTAGCCCTTGGGCTCAGCAGTTTGGATCACGCAGCCAGCTACCTACCTCCTTGAACGGCCCCTTTGTGTTGGCATAGAACCCATCTACATGGCAGCACCACAGGTGCCTCACACCTTTTTTAATCCTCTCCATATACTTCTCATGGGAGCTGCTGGGGCTTGAGAACATGACTGCTTTGGGATGATGCTCCGTTTTCTCTACAGCACGGTCAGTGCTTTGCATAGCAAAGAGTTAAAATCCACGGAATTTCTCTGTATTGGGGCAAACCTAAGGCTGTTTTATTTTCAAACTCRTGTTTGTAGAGACATACCTGTCACCCCTGTCCCTCAGGGAAGGGACAAGGTATAAGTGAGATCTTGGCATGACAAGAGCCATCCTGCCCAGGTTGGAATTACATTGACCACAGCCCTCCTTTGGGATACGGACGGAGGCGGCTGCTTTCCCACATGGGTCCCGGAACTTGGAGAGTTTTCCAGGCTCTGCCTCCTCATGGGTTGTCCTAGCAATTTACTTCTCTTTACTGTTAAAAAAAAAAAAAAAAAAAAAAGCCACAGAGCATTTTAAGATACAAATATGACCTCTAGCACAAAACACTATGTCATTTCCTATATCCACCTCCACAGCACTGGCATTACCTCCTCTCCTACATTAATTGCTCTGCTCCGGGTCAGAGGGGCATGGGGTGGGGTTGGCTTCCCAGACCTATTGCTCAGTTTCATCTCATAACCACAAGATTGGCTTTCCCATCCTGCCAGAAATCCTAAGTTTAGAAAGAAAGGACTTAATGTAGCAGCATTACACAGCTAGCTCATGTGAGATTTAGGATATTGGGCTTTTGCTAGGCTAAGAGAGGGCTTTTTTTATGCCTTAAGAAGTAATATCTGCCCTGTTGCAACACAGCCTCATAAYGAAAAAGAAAGATCTTGTGCACTGACTGGAAAGCCTGTGGGTAGCCCGCTGAGGACTGGCAACATCCAACATGAGAATTATCATAGGATAAAAACCCTGCAGCTGGCAGCAAGCTGTGCAACTAATTCCACAGCAAGAGAACATCGTGGTTTGTCTAACTGGAGGAACACATGGGCACTGCTGAAGCACTATGGTGCATGCAGAGACGGGACAGGGACATGGGGACAAGCCAAAGCTGGTAACAGCTGCAGGACTTTGTCTCCATTTTTCTTTCCTCTAACCGGCTTTAGATCCAGACTGGAGCAGTTTAAAAACTCAACATTAAGAGTTCTCTTAGTGTCTTGTAGAGTGAAGACCCTCTGTGGTACTGCCAATGACTGTCACCAACGGGAGCAGTTGGCTCTGGTCCAAATCAGTCACTGCACTTCCAAGGTACCCACCGTGTCTCTTCCCTCTGCCCTGTGCTGGCCCTGCTGTCTCAGGCCTCCATCAAACAGCACCTCAACTGCTGGAGCTGCTCCGTGTGGCCCCCTGTGCCCAGCCAAGCCCAAAGGCAGCCTGCAGAATTTGTTTGCAGAGTGAGGGAGGAGGAAGACCACCTGCAGATCACCACCTCATATGTTTGCACTCAGGGTGGACGAAACGTCCATGCCAGAGCTGCTGTTATCCAGATCCACCTTCAGGCAAGTCCTAGGCACACAAATAAAGTTGCCCCCACTCCAACACAAGGAAATCCGGATAAGAAAATCATTGACTTTGGGATCCAGGGTGTTTATATCATTTCTTCCTCAGAGCCGCTCAGAGCTGAGGTCTGACAGAAAAGGCTTTATACTTTCCCTTACATACTGAGGGCAGTGGCAGGGAGAAACAGCTCTTGTTAATGCCCAGGAAAAGCTAGAACTTTGCCCAGCCCTTGGGGCACTTGGGCCATGCAGGCACACCAGTCACAACCATGCTGTGGTCACCTCACTGCAGCTTAAGTCCTGTACTTGCAGTAGCTTCAGTTCACACTGGAAGGCAATAAGCCAGCTCTCAGCACAGTCATGGCTATTTCTGCAGGCAGACACTGAGCAAGAGTATGGCACAACACAGCTCTGTTCCCTCCTGCCTGTGCTTTGACACCACGGTGCTGGCCTGTTCCGCCTCCAAGCATCACCCTGAGCTTCTTTTTAGTCTCACGTGATGACACGTTGCAGGAGGAAGAGATTTGTTGCCCTTCCTTACATGAATAATCATTCATCCCAAATGGCAGAGGCCCAATGCAGACAGTGACTGTATTGCCCATAAATAGGCTACAGCCCAGGCAGAAACATGGRAAAGTCTGTGTTTGGAGCCCTGGGAAGCAAAGCCTTCAGCATAGCTTCCTCTGTACTTAGGAAGTGTTCTAAATACTGGCGCCTTGTAGGTGGGGGAGTTTCGCTGTGGGGTTTCAAGCAAGAGTTTCATCCTTGTGGAATCAGTACCTCAGAGCTGCGGCTGAGGCAAAATGACATTTTTCTGAGGAAGGGCTCCTGTGTTGCAAAACTGTTGACYGCTTCCAGCACACAGCAGCCAGGCCTTCCAGAAACTCTCCCTGCTCTCCTACTCACACCACCAACTTTTGAACCCAGAAGCAAAGTTCAACTCAAAGGCTGCAGCTCCCTGACCACAAGCACAACACAGGAGAGGAGAGCCAGGGGCAGCAGTAGCGTCTTTTGTCTGTGCAAAACTATTTCATGGCTCCCATGGGATGCTGAATCTGCCTTTTCTCCATGCATTGGGCACGCTGACATTATATCACTGTAATAGTTAAGGTCACTATCCCACTTAAGGTCACTATCCCCATGTAAAGTTTCCCTTCCAGTTATAAGCCAATCTGTGCAAGGAAGGAGTCTACTGGACGCCCAGCAACCCAAGCTTGTCCCCTTCTGCCACACAACTTAAGACTGAGGCTGGAAGTCCTAAGCRCTAATGATGAGCCTGTTCAATATCATTTCAGTATTGCCAATCCTCAAAAAATCAGCAATTTTGAGGGGTAAAAAAGTGACTCTTTAGAATCAGTGAATAAATAGGATCTCATTCATGAAATAAAATTACATTTTGTCCTTTTGCTTCTGAAAGGCACAATCAGAAATTCCATCAGAAACCTTTTTTTAAAAAATAAATAAAACAGTTCTCAAATAATCAGATAACTCAAGCAGCTCATAATTTAAGAAACACACCAATCAGCCTGTATGCTCTCAGTATGCCCAAAAAATATTAGTTTTGTCTTACACTGGACCACACAGTTCATTCAATAGTATTTGTACAATATCTAGTATATTTTCTTCTTACGTTTTTTCTATCTTTGTTTCAATTTCATGCAGCGATGGTGAACTTTTTTTTGGGGCACACTTCTTCCTCTAAGTACCTGCTGCGTTCCCTGGCCTTGCTGTTGACAACATCTTGCATTTCTCTTCCAACATCCCGACAAACAATTAGAAGTCTCTTCTCAGGAGCTAAATGAAAAGCTCTGGAAAACCCCGGCAYGTCTTTCAAAGAATAATTAAATGAAAAAGCAGATGGTCCTTTAATCAAGAGTAATGATTTCTCCACAAAGCTGAACTCTGAATGACCCTCAAGAAAGAGTAATTATTGTAATGGAGGCAGGAACAATAGGAAAAGCAGATTGAGAAATAAACTTCCCATTTAAATTGCTCTTAGCCCAGGGCTCAACAAGAAGTAGAGGAGGCCAAGTAGATGCTGGGGCAGCGCCTTGCATCCCACCGAGGGAATGAGAGCAGCCAAGGATGGGATGCTGATGTGGCTTCCCGTCTCCTCCCGCCTTGCTGGGGCGATTGGACATYGGGTGATGGCAAGAAGGTGTTTTCTAAAACCGGAGCTTCCCAAGGCTGAAGCCACTTTAGCAGTCAGCAGTTTCTGAAACAGGGCTGAGAAYGATTCGACAGCAAAGGCACAACTGTTACACGGCTGCAGGAGAGCCCCATGGCAGGGGAATGAAACCACCCCTGTCCCTCCTGCCACGATATCCAGCGATGCCAGGAAAGCTAGAAAGTCTCTGCCTTCTTTAGAGGCCCATCGTCACCCCGTCCACTCCTTGCTCTGACACCCAGAGCACTTTCACAGGAGAAGAATGGAGGGAATACCATGACCTGCTCCCACAAGGAAAATCCCTATCTTTGAAGCTCTGGTCTTCAGAAGTGGGTCTCTAAAATCTAGGGCAGCTGATTTGAAAGCCCACAGGGATCACATACTTCATATGCTTTTACTCTTCAGATAAGCTGATGCACTTAGTGCTGAGGGCATTTTTTTCCTCCAATTGAGCGGAAATTGAGTTCTTAAGAAACACAAGCCYTCAGTCTAGGTGCTGAGTTCTCCTGAAATAACAGCACTAAATTTCTTTGGAATGGCAAAAAATCACCCTTAGCCATTCCACAAATAGTACATAGCTCTGTTGAGTTCCTGGCAGTCACTTTAGGAATTAAATGCTAAGCAATTCTCAGGAATGATCTCAGTAAGGGCAATACTTAGTTCTGTGCAATGATYGTTACCCTCCAGAGGCTGATTCCTATGAAATGGATGAAAGGTGGATGGGATGAGTTACCCACCTCTCTGCTGAGTCCCATGTTYCTCGCATCACTGGGGAGTTGACAACATCGCCTGGTGAATCCCTCTCTTGTAAACCTATGTGGAAGATTATCTGCCTCCAAGAAAGGGGAAGTCACACACAAACATCTGCTTTATTAATTACTGATGCTAATCAGCTTTTGTGCCCACAAGGGAATGCATTATTGTTTTTCAGGCAAGCAGTAAATAAAGTAATTGCCAGCAGAGAAGCTGCATTGCAAGCAACAAGCCATCAGTCATGGTCAGGTTGTACAAGCGAAGCACTGGTGTTGAGAGTGAATGCAGCTTTAAATGAAGTAATGGGGCATGTGGCAGATTAACAAATAAAAACTACACAGGCATTTTTTTTTTTTTTTAATTCAGGAGAGACATGACTTATATTATCATAAAAGCTGACAAAGAGATAGCATCCAGAGATTTTATACAATCTGGTGCCTTTGGCTCCTGCATTACCTTGTGTATACTGAGAATAATTCGGCCATTCTGTTTTCTTCTCAATGTGTTCTCCCCAGGCCATAGGAATAACAGCTCAGCTGCTCTAGATTTTTATTTGCTTGTTCTTATTAGATACCTTTTTCTCTTCTGAGGAATTGTATGGTTCAGAGCTGACTAAGAAAAGGAGCTCTGCACTTAGTCTCCAATCTAAGCAGAAGYATAAGCATACATTAATTTAAGCCTCTGAAGAATACCAGTTACTTCACTTGTGCTAAAAATAAGCCTAAGACCAAGTATATGCTTATATGCTGTTGAGACAGCATATAAGTATATACAGAGACATATGTATATCAAAAATTGCACTGTCAAGCAATGGCACTGATTCCTTGTTGGAAGGCAAAAGCAGCAGTGCACAGCCTGGAAATATTCACAATTCCCATGTATGCACAAACTCTAGGCTAGTCCCTGGTTTGGAGTGGTTACCTCTGCTCACTCAGCAATGCAGTGCAGCAAATTCTGCCTCATTAAGGGTGTTTTTTTTTTGTTTTTTGGCTTGTGGGAGCAAAACTGGCCTATGAAACCAACGCAGGGCAGGGAACAGTCTGTTCACAAGAGGTTAACTTGCCAGCATGACTCCTGGCTGCTTCTCATTAGAAAGGACTTAAGCTCTTTTCCACATTGTGCTTCTTGGATTAAAAAACATGACAGTGGAGTGGGTCCGACAGGGAGGGGGAAGTGTCATACTATGCTTAAAACTTACAAGAGATAAAGATTTAGGAAGTCAAAGAAGTTGGCAAGCACAACCCGACAGTCATTCCTATGAGACAAACTGGGCTACTCAGCCAGTGACTCAAGGGGTCAAGTGAAATTCTGGGCACCCCTAAAATTCACTGCACCAGCCAGCTGTGTACATGGAGCTCTGTACACACACATTCAGCAAGAAGCCCAGCTCAGTGCAAAACAGCAAAGGGCCTTTCTGAAAAGCAGGTATCGTTTGACATAAATAAAATCATCACATCTATTATCATTAATGAACACACAGAAAGCTCCCAAACCTTAACCCTGAAGCCATGCTGTGAATCCCACACTGTGAGCAATCCTTGGGGTTTCAGTAACCTCAAGCACACAAGGAATCATCATCATCAGAGAGAGATTTTCACTCAAATGACAATAAATTTAGTGGAGCACGAGCAAGATTGTGTGATATCCATTGGATGCCCTTTGGTTTGCTCCCCTTCAAAAGCTTTGGTCACCCAAGCAGGAAGACTGAAAGCTACAGCACAACATGTAAGCAGTCAGGGCCCTAGCGCAGTAAAAAGCTACTACCACAAACTTTAAAAAGGGACTTTGGGAGAGTTAAGGGGATAGTMAAGGAGGCTCTCAGTCGCCTCAAAGTCCATTCACCTGCTCACAAAGAAACACTTGCACAAGCTTTATGCAGCAATCTGCATAGCACACACTTGTGTGGGGGAAAAAAGAAAAGAAAAAAAAAAACCTGCATGCACTGGCTAGTTGGCTTACAGGAATTCACTTAAGCAGGAAAAATTAAACTGGGGAACACATCCCTTCTCAGTTTCACACCTGGAAAAAAAGAGATTTTATTGCACACGACAGCTGAGCAGTGTCTTGGAAGCTTTTGTAGCACTGCGATTTGCTGAGGATTGAGCATCTGACTCCTTCAACCAAGCTCAGAAAACCCAGCCTCTCACTGTAAGAGAAAGATCCTCTTGGGCAGCCACTGGCAGCGGAAGCTTCCGGACCAGCTTTTAGAACTGCACAGGTCAGGCCTTCCCATAAAACCTTAAGAGCTCAGCCACAACGATAGGACTTTTGGTAGAGCATACCTCCACCWCAGCTCCTTACAAACTGCTGTGCACAGGTCGCATATGCGGTTGCAGTTCTTTGTTCAGCAAATTCTTTCCACTGAAATGCTGAAGATTAAAGAGCTTTGGCAAAGCTTTGCCTGGAAACATGCAGAGACCCACCGCATGGTCTCCTCCGTTGACTCTGGCACGCCGCTGATATTACGAATATTAAGTCTTTCACAAGCATTCAGTAATAAATTAGGGAACATTTTCTTCATTCTCTCTCTCTCCCTCSCAAAGAGTATTTTGCACACAAGGAAGCTTTGTTTTTAAAAGTCTAGCTGTTACAATGTGTTCACACTTTCAGAAAATCCTTCAAATTCATGTCCTTTAGCCTCAACCAAAGTCTCCTACCATCAGCACGGGCAGAATGAATCCTGTGAAACATCRTTACCCAGAACATTACCCAGTCAGAGAGTTATGTGGGAAATTCTGTCTCAGTGGGACTGAAAGATAAGATGCTCAGTTTAATTTAAGGGTAAGATTTGTAGGATTAAGCTCATAAAGATACTKACAATAGAGCAGATGGGGGTGTCCCCCATCACGATGGCATATATCAACATTTAGTGCTGTTTCGTGCCATGTTCCAAAGCTTGCTTTCATAGTATAAGCACAGGTTTGGGGGACAGAAGATATATATGTAAGTGCAGGAGATTTTGACATTTGCTTTCTGGCTGGACTAGACAGAAGTCATAGCTCGTAGGCTGGGCTGTTTTGTGGGAACAGCATTTCAGGGTTTAGCTTCATTTCTCCAAATAACCCTTGTTAATTGCAGTCACTTGCAAGTTAATTAACTATATCCATCCCGGGCCCACCACCTCCATTTAAAGATAATTCTACTTCTCTACAGTGCCACGCTGGCTGCTTTCAGTTTGGAAAGCTAGCTGCAAAGCTGTAATCTCTCCTAGTGCTCAGAATGGGAATGGGTGCCTGTGGACAGGACAAGAGCACGTTACTGCTAGTAACCAACATGCTAGCAAACATCAGATGCTGAAAATTTAGGAATCACAKGCCCTAAAATTAGGGAAATACCTTTGAAATGTCTCCTGACAATACAATCTGAATGCTTTTCATCTGCTTTCCTCTTTACAGGAATCATAAGTCAAGGTTAGGTTTCCCTGTGTTCCTCTGCCAAAATTACAGCCTGGAACAACTGCAGTGCAACGCCAGGGATTGTGTATGCTCCAATCCAAATGGAGCCTGGACAAAAAATCCACCTTTTCCTGTGAGATCTCCCACAGGAGACCCACCCCAGAGCACTAGCAAGGCTGCAGTAAATCCCTGGGAAGATGCACCAGCCCAACAGCAGCATGCAGTACCTGGGGTCATTTATTAGGCAAAAGATGCTCCTTACTGGATTAAGAACAAAAATAAAACCACATGTGTATGAGTGTTCGTGCAGACACCAATCCAATAAGCAAATAACTGCTTGAATTCCTGRGAAGTGCTGGGAGAAAAAAAGGCATTCGTGAGCCCATATTCCTGAGAGATAATTGCTTCTAAAAACTCAATTGCCTCTCAGCTATTTGAAGAGTAGCTTCCTGCTTAACAAGCAAGTCTTATTTGGGGAACTAGCTACATTAGGACCTTCCATCCTTCCTCTTTTTAAAACCTTCTAAAAATCAGAAGGGATGGAATATGGAGGTATTAAATAGCTGGATATTAACTTAATTACAAGAACACTTGATAACTGCCTTTACAATGATTCTGAATCATTTTTGTATCAGTTTAAAGGGGGAGGAAATCAGTAATTTCTCCGTATTTCCCACCATTAAGGATTTCATGAGACACTTAGCAATTGACCATTAAGCTTCAGGACATCAACCAAACTTTTTTTTTTTTTTTTTCCTCTCCCCATTAGAAAATTGCTTGATAACAAAAAAACCTCATTTTATCACCGCTGTACCACAGTGCAAAAATAGAAAGCACCTGGCAGCCAAACGTATGCAGACAAACACACAGGCAGCCAAATAGTGTCACTCTGATGGAGGTTTCTTGATTAAAGAGCAGAAACAGGACCTAACACCTTCATTTTCCACAAGTTCTGGAGCTGAAGAAATGTCTCTCAAGCCTTGGCTCCCCAAGCAAAGGTAAGCTTCTCCTCCAAAAGTGCTCATCTAAACTACATCAAAGCCACCTGCCTATTTTTCTTGAAGTCTAGGATAAAACTCTGCATTGATCATAATAAAAAAWTTCTAAAGAATAAGCAGTAAAGAGGAAGGCAGCACATGAAAGCCCTGTCCTGCTCCTTGTCACTGGTTCCTTCCATCTAGACCTAGCTGRTGCTATCCCTATTACACAGTAATTTGAATCCGGGGGCGGTAAGACCTGTTCCTGCCTTCTACGCTGGCACAGCATTTAGAGATACAGTCAGTATGTTCAGTGCTTCACTCCTGCAATAATACAAATCATGTAGATTTGCCAGTTTGCACTGGGTTGAGGATGTGACTCAAAGCATGAGGCTGATCTGCCCGATCTTGGGGGCAGAATATCGAAGAATATTGGAGAAGTAAAACGCAAAGTTGGGGAGCCATGAATAGGCCTCCTTATTGAACTCTTTTTTAAACAGACTGCTTGCAAAATCTGTACGAGAAAGGTTATTGCTCAAGGTCACAGAATGCAGCTGAGCACATTGAATGAGTCTTAAATTAGGGCCCACAATGAGGAGGGGGAGATCTGAAACGTGCCTTAACACGTCATTTACTTCTATTGCTGTTGCTTATTTGCATTCTCCCCTCAGCATATTTACCCTCACTCATAGRAGGAATGTCTCTCTGGGAAGATATAATATTCCTTGTACCTCTCATTGATAAGAACTAATGTCTCACTGCATGGCATGTAGTAATCCACCCTCACACATAATTAACAAGGTCCAGTTTAATAACGTCAGGAACGCAGATATTCCCCCAACCCCAGAGGATTTGGACTGTAAAAGTGCCCAACATTTCCAGGTCACCCTAGCAGCCTGGTATTGGAAGTTATTCGCCCATTTGCTTATACAGATTTGCATGAGAGAGAGTGAAAATGAGTGGTTCTAACCGGGCAAAACTGGGCACCCTCTTCCCACTGCCAGACAAAGACATCTGCTTTACAGCTTGGTGSCTAGTGCTGCAGCTTGCAGAATCACAGGGAAAAAATGAAATAGCCCCATCTTTCCTATTGCAGATGCTAGTCTCCAGGCTGCTGCAGGAGGGAAAAGGAGCTACCACAGCTACTCGAAACACCCAAACTCCAATATATCTGGTTGTATGAGTCCATTGAGAGAGGGTTCAGGTTGTTTATAAATTTTAATTATGAATTCAGCCTCTGTAAGGAGGTTGCCATAGCTAATGGAACATCATGTGAAGGGCAGGTGGAACAACATGGATAAGCAGTGAATCAAGCCATGAGGCTCTACTTAAAACCCAGTGTCTCTGTAATTAGAGATCCTCTAGCATCCTGTGCATAGGAGTAAGAAGAAAGGGCACAGAGATCTTGCCACAAGATGAGTGAAGTCAGGGGACAGACACCACATCCCGTTGCATGAGGGAGAGCCTTGGGTTTATAAGGAATCTGCAGTATAGAAGGGGATTGAGGAAGTGGTCTTTGGGGAACAGGGAGCTCCAGGGACCTCCAAACTGCCTCCATTGTGCTCCCTTCCTGACTTCATCCCAAGGATTGGACACAGGGTCTGCAGCCCCTGTGCCCTCCCTGTCCTGGCCAGGCCTAACCAGCTCCACCACAGTAGGTGACTCATTACCAGGATGAGATACATTGAAGCCTGCAGCAAGTGGGTGCCATTTGGGCTGCCAGAGCTCCAGCAATTGCCCCACAGTCCTAAGGCCTCTACCTGACCCCAACCCACATGAAGGCTGCTTTCTCCAAAACCATTTCATCCACTCAAGAGAACAGCCAGCCTATCCCCACAACTGCCACTCTCTGTTGTGAAGCCCTTGGTATCGAACTTCCATGGTGAAAGTGTCTCACCACTACAGGAGTGATTGAGTGACTAAATGGTTGATGTTAGAGATTGTGGACAGAAAGAATTTAAAAAAAAAAAAAAAAGAAAAAGAAAGAAAGAAAACAAAGCAAATAAACTCAGAAATAAAGAGCTGATTCCAGGATCAGAGAGGAGTACCAGACTATGTGGGCATTTGTTTGGAAACATGCCCCATGGGATGATGGCTGTCCATTGACTTCTGAGACAGTCCTTGACTCGATAAAAGCAAATAAAGAAAATTGGGAGGAAGAAGTGGGATAATTTGTCCAGGGCCTCTCAGACAACCACTGGCACAGTTGTGAGCTGGCACTGGACTGTGGAATCCCACCCTTGAGCCTTTTCCACGAGACAACACTACCACTTTACTGTGTACAGGCCTCACAGAGGCCAGGCGATTTGGCCTCCATTTCCCGGATCAAAGGATCCCAGTTTGAACAGCACATCAGCTTGCCAGGACTGGAAGCCATTCTGCTTAATGGCTTCTTAATCAGAATTGATTTCCTACAAAAACCACTTGGTGAAGGCAAACCATTGCCTAGCATCAAGAAGCATATCAGAAACCCAAACGTCAGTAGGGCAGGTCTCTCCTTGCACACACTTGTCTCAATAAACAAATGACTTCTCTTTCTGCAGCCGCTGCTTCTACGCTGGAAGAAGTTCCCACGTAGCTGTTCCAATTAGTACCAGTTTAAAAAGAACCTCACAGCTTTTTCACCAAGATCCTCACTGCTATATAAAGCCAGAAGAAATTAGAGGCTTTAGCTCTAACTGGGGTTTTGTCCATTTTGTACAGAAGTTATCTTTGTGAAGACTAACTCAGCTGAAAAACTGCTCTGTTCACCAACCACGCCAATCCTCTTAGTGTTTCTTTTTTTTAGAAAAAAAGAAAAAGAAAAAAAAAAAGATATTGCAGCTGTGTAATATACTGAGAGCTCAGAGGAAGCAAGACCAGTGATTATCTAGTGCAACGAGATCGAACAGCACAGTGCCAACAGTGCTGACTTCTAAGGAGGCATAAAATATTCTGAAGAATTACCCTGTTACAAAATGAGACCTTCCAAGAATATGGCGCAAATCTGACCAGTGCCCCTGTGACAGCCAAGCAAACTGCAAACCAGACACAAAGCAGGAGCTCTCAGAAGCAGCTCAGGAGTCTCTTGAGCTCGGGACCCACTGCAGAGATACACAGACAATCCATAATTTTAAGTACCTGAAGAGGGGTCTGTTCACACAGCAAAG